TTTTGATTATCATCTCTATCGCGGTCACGCTCAAGTGACACCACAGTTCTTCAACATCATGAAAATGAATTATCGGCATAAAGTCAAAACTTCTGATATGTTTACTTGCACAGAAAGCTGGATGTCAGACGGTGCGTCCCGTGAGTGTTAAACAAAGTTCTCTTTCATGTCTTATTGTGTTTAAACGGTCAAAAACACGCAATGTTATGTCAAAAACACACAAAGTTCCAATAAACAGTCGGTTATGTCTGAACATCAAACATCAAGAAATCACGTGTATAATTGGATTGTGTATTAAAATGAACTGATATGCTGTTAATATGAATCAAACAACAAAAGAAAATGAAAATCACTTGCTCCTCTTGATTTAATAACTTAGCAGCTTTAATTAGAATACATTTCTTATGCAGCTGTTAAATGCTTTGGTGAGGATGTAAACATACACTGAAAAAAATATTATTGGTTTAAAGTCCCCGTGAACCGGAAGTTGCAAACGATTTTTCTCCAGTGCTGTGACGTATTTCCAAGTGAAACGGAATATTGAACAGAGGGCAGGGTTTTACTCTAGCGCTCCTCCTTCTCCATCTCTCGCTCATAGCAAACTAACGGTTTGAGGGGAGTGGTTAAGCGTTTCCCCACCCAAGCTGTGAAACCTACGTCATCAGAAAAAGAAACCGTTCCAGACCGGAAGTAACTTTTCAGATTTTGATTAAAGATTACCAAGGTAAAACATTTTTTTATATATATTCACTTGCACGGATTAATTGTTCACCACAAGACTAGTAATATGCGCTAACAAAGTAAATAGGTTCAATTTTGATTTCACAGGGACTATAACTAAAATTAAGTAACCTGGCTGCTTTAAAACTTTAAGTTGATTGAAATGGAAAAAGTGAGTTTATACAATGAAGGAGATTGATTTAATCATCAGAAACTCAAAATAATAAGTTATCTGAACTAAATAAATGATTTAAGTTGATTTGACAAAAGAAAAAAATGTGATGATAAATCTTGAAAATATATATATATATTTTTTTTACAGTGGGACTGGGCAGGGTCTATGCTAATAGGGCAGAGCCCATCAGTAATTGTGGGCGGGGTCTAATCATGTCACAAAAGCTACAATCTGCAAAAGGTTGTTCAATGATTATGACTAAAGTGGGATTTAAAATAAGGAGGAGTGGGTGGATTTGTACTATTATAGGGTGGATGTGTACACGCTGCCGACACACAAAAGCCATGTAAAAGTGAATTTTTCATAATAGGTCGGAGGTCCTCTTTAAAGGATTGGTTTTAAATGAATTTTATTGTTATTTTTGATGCAGCTTTCTGTTTCATGAAATAATGTTTTAATCTTAAAAAATAATAAAACAGCATAAAAAGCTAAATCCTCAAATGTATTTTTCCATTCTGCATATTTCAAACTGGAAGTCACATTTAATAATGACTTAATTTCGACCCCCAACAAAAATATTTGTCCAAAAAAAAAAAAAATTGGGGGGAGTTTAACAGTCACTGATCAGTTCCGTTGTATGGAAAAGAGCTGGCATGGAGATTAATAAGATAAATCCTCCTTTTGGGTTCCACAGTAAAGTATATAAAAGAAATAAATAACGACTGCACAATTATATATGTGCACTGTGCAAAACAGAAACGCATTAACTGCTCCAGAGGAATCTAACCATTAAAACCACTAAATGTTCTATTAGTGCGCTAGTTTAGAATGGTAATTACTGGATGTGGATTGCACACTTGAGGGAATCGGTGCATTTGCATAAAATCTGCGATGCTGAGGAGGACACACACTGCTCTCTAACGCTGAATCTGTAAATCCGTTCATGTCATCCTCTCATCACCAGCTCTCAAACAGAGGCTGCTCGATCACACAGATTGATGACTTTCCCAGCACGATCGATATCGAGCCTACAATGTGAACCACTGCGCAAAGAAAATCAGCAGATACATGCACAAAATTATGCACGTGAACGCGCCTAGGTAGGCAGCTCACTAGGCATTTTGAAACACAACATCAGATGATGATGCACTTTCATAGCTTTAAATATCTCACCTCCAGGTGGGCACATGGGCCTCGTAGTCCCAATATTCCCTGCTCTTCAAAGTGTTGACATCGGCATACACCCGAGATTTACTACCGGCCACCGGGCCGGGCATGGCGCGCAACGGGGCTCAGGGTGTAGGAGAAATCCGATCGCCAAATCCAATCCAAAACACACAGAAGGAGTACCACTGATCAGATGTAGACCAGCCCCGGGGGTGGGGGTCTGATGGTATCCGGTTCGGGCGTGTAATATCTGATATCAGCGGCGTAAAAGATGGAGCGCGGTGACCGATGAGCAGCACTTGTTCCCCGGTTTGTCGGCGGTGTTTAGACCGCCTGGAGATCCGGGGGTGAAGATGGATAGTGGATAGAGTGTGAAATGCTTTGGCAGTGCTAATATCGCATACAAAGATGCTAATATATAGAGTCTAGAAGGTCTATTTTGGACCTGTATGTGTGAAGTTTAGTGAAAAGTTATTTGGTTTAAAAATAGACTGAGTCCTAGGCGGGGGGGTTTGTTTAGATCTAATTATTGTGGGTTAAACCCCCCCACCACCCCAAAGGGGCCTCAAATCCCTAGATCCAAAGCATAAAGATCCGAGAGAAAAAAAAAGCCAGGATGTGTGTTCTCTCAGTCTTCAATCTGTAGCGAATGGATGTTGGAAAATACAGTCCACCGCAAGTGAGTAGAATATAACTAATCAGTTCCTGAGCTTCAGGATATTGACTGGTTAGAAAGAGAGGGAGAGGCGGTGGACTACAGATCGATGTTTTACCGGACCACAGTGAAAACCCGCTTCACCGTGACGTCGCTTGCGTAAAGTCGTTGTGCAATAATCGCGAAAAACGTTTATAATCCCGTGCAGCGTTCTGCTTGTGATCGGGGTTCGGGTTTTCCGGACCAATCCCCCCGTGCTGCTGCAGGAAAAAACGGACTGGAACGATTTGACCCGGAAGCGCAAGATAGCTTTATCAATTAGCATAAAAAATCCGGAAGTACAAATTTGCCATGGCCATAGATGTATATCAGTAGAATGCACATGCGCCAGCTCCAAACTCGGTGACACCTCCGCCGTTTTGGAACGGTCAACATGACGCTCTTCATCATTCGCACTAAAAAATAAATACATTTCCAGCGAAAAAGTGACAGTATTGTGCAGCATATCAGAGGGTATACGGTTCTAAAAACCGCCTACATGCATTCCATTCAAAATGGACTAACCTTTCAGAGGTAATAATGTATTTGTTTGTGTTTTTATAGCTCAATATATAATATCGATATACAGAGTTGTGCAACATTAACGATAAACTAAATTCTATGAAAATCATCTTCTAATCTTTCTATTGCAGTTAAGATATTAGTAAATGTGGATAACTACGGTTGCTCTCGAGTGTTTACGACCCGGCTTTGACCGTTCCAGTATGGCGGACGGTTTACAGACGCTAATGAGGCATCTGTGTGTATGTATTATCTAATGGTCATGGTCACTGGGCATGTCCTTCCGTTGCTATGCGCCCATATTTGACTTCCGTTTGATGTCTAACAGACATTTTGAGGAAATGTGTGGCTGTGTTCATCGTTTCATTCACTGCTGTAAAGAGGGCTTTAATTCAAAAGCATGTATATTTCTATGTACGGCAGATCTTCCATTGAAATATGTATATATGTGTTTATAAGAGAAATGTATAAATGTCTTTATATGAGAACTGTTCTCAATAATAAATAACAATTCTGATGTTATTTATTTATTTACTAATTTATTTAAATGTCTTTCCTAATTATGGTGGACATTGTCTGACATTGCTACAATCTGACCCTAAATTAAAATTCATATTAAAACATGCTTGTTTTGCGTTTTTGATAGAATTTCACAACAATGGATAATGAATGTATGTGTGTATTGATTAGTAGTCTACCAATAATTTATTAACCCTTTAACTTACTTCTCAACCAAACGGTTGAGCACATTTTGAGTTTGAGATTTGGCACATAACGGTTAACTATCACCTCCCTTTTTGAGAATGGCAATGCACTATTAAAACTTGGTTGTAATTCAAGTATGCTTTGTACGGAATAAAGACCTAAGTTTAGTCTTGTTTTAAAGAAAACACTGCAGATAATTGCTGAAGTAAAAGCACTTAAAAATTAAAGTATGAAAAAATTATGGAAGTTAAAATTAAATCAAATATACTGTACTACATATTTTTTTCTTTTATATAAAACATATATTTTACAAAATATTTTTTTCCTATAAAATTACAATAAAATCAAAGCCATAGCCTATCTAACCAAGTTGTGTTCCAAATTTGAAATTGATATCACAAAAATTGATTTTGTTTAGGCGTAATACCAAAAATGACATAAATTCCATTGAATTTAATTGTATGCATTCTGCTGTAATTAATAAATGTCTGTCCAAATATGACTTCTGTTTCAAAATATGGAACCTTGAGACTCAGACCTTTCTGACAATGTGTTTTGTCAAGACTAGAAAAGGTTTTGATCATAAATTATGATGGGCAATGAAAAAGCATGGCGAAGTAAGTGTATGAATTCCGTTCTGTGTTTGTGCTGCCTTGTCGAAAAATGCTACCATAGTGTGAATCGATCACAGAAAATGTTGATTAATATTTTATGAAATACAATTATAATACAATTCTAAGTTATGAGTAGCTACTGTATACTGTTGACTACTGTTTTTATCTTTAAAACGTTGTGAAAAGTAAAAATTATCATCAAATATTAATCTTTGACTCACTTGTCAAAGCACATCTTTCCTTAATAACTGAAACTTTCAGTTATTCTTGTTCAGCTGGCTAACAAATATTCATATAGTAGTGAGCATTTTTTAAAGGGAAATTACATTATAGCACATTAAAAACTGACCATATGTTAAAAAAAAAAACTGAGTCTGCACATGCGCATAACCAGTAGCAAACAGAACACCTGTACCATTTACCATAAAGTGACATCTCAACCATTTGGTAGAGGCCGATATATAGGATGTGTTGAAAAATAAATACATTGAGTGTGGTTACTAGTGACCTAAGAAGATAAGAAATGCAAACAAAGAAAATTTCCATCACTTTTTTCTTGGTGCGGACATCGAAGGGTTAAGGGCGAAACAAACGGGTGTACGAAACCATGGCAACAAGCAACCATGGCAGCTACGACAGAGCACAGTAAAACCGACACGGATCAAAACCAACTTGTTGAACTTGTAAATGACATAAAGTAAGTTATAAAATCTTTTTTTTTCTATTTCAAATGTTGACTTAATCTTGCTGTCATGTTTGCCAAAAGGAAAAAAGAAAAGTGTTTCAATTTAGTTGGTTAATCATGGCCAGTTAGGACCAGCCGCATTTTAACTGAACGTGGTTTCTGAACTTTTTATTTCTGGTTGCATCAGCAAACAATATTGTATTTTATGTAATTCATGTAAAAAACAATTAATTTGTATTTTTCTACATTTAAGGCGATCCAATGCAGAGCTACAAGCAGAGATCGGTATATTTGAGCAATATATTAGTCGACTGGACCTTCAGACTCAATCGGAGGCTTTTGAAACATCACGGATGGAAATGGCAACGGTACGTGTATATATATATATATATATATATATATATATATATATATATATATATATATATATATATATATATATATATATATATATATATATAATATATATATAATAAAAAAAATAAAAAAAAAAAACCGGAGTGTTTTTATGAGTGGTACATGCATGATGTTCATTTATTCATTGTCAATGTTTTGATTCCAGAGTCGAGGAAGGAAAACTAAAACTAAAGTTAGCACTCCAGAGAGGCAACAGCTCCTGACACTGGAACAGAAATGTGATGTCGCCCAAAGCGTGCTTAAACAGATGACTGAGGATATGAAGAGAGCAAAAGACCATTCAGAAAGAGAGCTAGACAATTACAAGGTCATTAGTCAAGAGAGGGAACAATCTCATAAAGCTTTGTCACAAATATATTACACATGCTTATATAATTGATTCTACCCATTTTAGGCAACCCTGGAAGAAGCTGATATCCACTTGGCGGAGGTTAAAAAAGAATGTTGCCAGTTTGATCGCGACATCTATAAAGCACTGCAGGACAAAAAGTGTTTGACGATGAGTGCTGAGAAGGTCATTAAATACATTGAGGACAGAATAAGGGCCAAGGTAAAAGAAAACTTCGAGTCGCAGGTTTATTCTGACAAGAGTTGTGATTTAAATTCCCAATAAAGTGCCATCTTTCCAGGAGAACTTGATCGAGAAGTTGCATCGGAAGAATGCAGCACTCGTCGCACACAAGAAAAAACTACAGGTCCAGCTAAAGCAACAGGAGGAGATGGGTGAGGGACTGACGTCGCTGGACTTAGAGCTGCTCAAGTTTGAGAACAGCAAATCTCGTAAACAACTGGATAAGCAAAACCTTGAACATTCGGATCTCAAAATGGTTGCAGGGAATACTTTGCAGGCCTTGAATTCTAATAAGGTGATTCTTGGTTAACCATAGAACATATCACCTATTTGTTAAGCCACACGCCACAGTATTAGGACAGGTCTTACAATGCTATTACTATAGGGAACTGTTGGCCTTGTGTTGACACATTAAAAGCCTGTTCATAACAAGAATGACAACTACAAACTACAGATCTGTTTATTCTAAGCACGCGCTGCAGGCTAGTCATCTGTCGCTTTAAATGCTCAAGCTCTTTAAAATAGGATGGATTCAGATTGGCTGTCAATGTTTTTATCAGCTAGAAAAAATCTTTCTGATTGTGTCTCTGCGCCATTGTGGTGTGGACTCTGTTATTCTTTAATATTTAGAACTATATCTTTATCGTTATCATTATCATTATAGTTATCAGCCTAAAGGGTTTAGAGATTTTTTTCAATGTCCCCTTCTTGCAGAAGAAGCTTCAGACCTTGACAGACGAGTCAGATGTGCTGAACAGTGACATTGCTTCACGGGGGAAGTTACTGGTTAAGATTGAGGAGGAGATCAAGGAAGCGGAGGAGGTCAGGATAATGAAATTCCTTCTATGTAGGCCTACTTGAACTTGAACTTACAGATCTGTAGAAAAAACACCATAAAGCTCCTCAAGAGCTTTGAGTATCTGAGCCAGAAACCAACATCATGGCAGTAAATGACCAAATATTGACACTTAAAAAAATCAAAATAAGGCTAAACCAACTAAAAGGTATTTGTGCTAATTGGTATGGGACTCCACTGGTCAAAAGCCATAATATGGATTTAATTTTTCCTGACAGGAACGAAAGAAAGCAGAGGCTCTTAACGAGAAGTTGAGGGGCCAGTTGGCCGACTATCATGTACCAAATGTCCTACAATACATCGAGGTTAAAGAGTCCCATGGCCAGCTGCAGAAGTGTGTTAAGGAATGGGAACGCAAGGTGGAGATTGCAGAGGTGAGGGCTCTTATCCTTTATTTTTTTATTACTACTTATTTTGCCTATATATATATATATACACACAAGACAAAATAATATATATATATATTGTCTTATGACCATGTCTTATTTAAAGACATGGTCATAAGACACTTCTAGAATTAATCAGCTCTTTATGGTTTTTAATTGTGTGTTTTTTTTATTTTTTTATTTCCAGATGGCATTAAAAACACACACAAAATCCTGGGACAAGCTTCGGATTGCTGCTGGAGCCAGACCAGTTCCTGCACGACATTCAGCCACAGAATCTGGATTGTATGGGTTTTGATATGAGGTCCTAAATAACCTCAATGCCCAAGAAGATGACCATACATTTAGCATCTTCTGCTGAATTTCAGCTTAAAACACAAACTGCATCAATATAAAGAAAATAAATGCACATAGAAATGACAAACAACAATGCATTATTAATGAAAAGGTTTATTAGTTAGTGCTGTGTATATTAAATGCTACATACAGATATTTTAGCATGAATGTCACATCAACCGCCACATGAACTTCTTTTACTAGCTCATTCACAATCTACAATTTGGGGGAAAAAAAAGCTAAGGATAAGTATGTGCGCTTGGAAGCACAGATACTTGGAACAGATTACAGGAACTAACACAGCAAGCATGCACAGGGTGGAGAGGTCTCAAAACCATAGAAGGTCGTCGATCGAAGGTCGACGTTCCCCTGTGGTCCTGACACGTCTGCCAAGAATATAGATATTTATGGAGATTTTAAACAATTTTAATAAAAAAATTTATGTACAAACATGAAAACATAAAAAAACAACATACTTATGAAATCCAACTGCTCATTCATTCTTAATGCCTATGGTTTAAAAAAAGCCCCTTGCATAAATAGATACTATAAAGGGGAAACAATTTGGAGGCCAAGGACTCTGTGGAGAAACTAGACATCCCTGCTTAAGGCCAAAGTGTCACCATCACCTCTAACCCTGTAGGAATAGGCGAAACCTAACTGCAAGAGGGAGATGATCCTCAAGGGCCAGTAATCAACATATAATACTGCATAAGCAACAGAGCCAAGAATGTCATTTTGCCCCATGTAGGATGATGGGAAATTGCGATGGGGTGGGAGGGGTAAAGTAAAAATAAAAAAGTAGGCAAATCAAGACTTGAACAGTTCTATTAAAATTCAGCTTTGTGGACCATTACAAAAAGTGGTAGATTCTTCTAAAATTAAAACAAGGAGAGCATGTGTTTAAAAAAAAAAAAAAACATAGATTACTCTTGTATGAGTACCACTCAAATATGTCTATATATAAATATATACACATATTTTTCTATACAAGTCAGTTTTAAAAAATTCTCAAAAGAACATTATCGTTGGATGAGTATGCAACACAGACATTCACTAACAAAAACATCTGAATGATGCGCGTTTAAATCGAGGCCTTAAAGGGCCCAAAACTATTACTTTCCCTCCTGGATCCTGGGGGAAGCCGAAAATACATTTTGAAAGTCTTTGATTCTAGTTTTTATAAAAGAAAATAACAGGGAAACAAAGACTCACCGTCATGTTGCAAAAGGCAGATGACTGTAGGCAAGACATGGAGTTGGCAGATAAGAGATCAAACACATGGATAAATCTATACAGTAGACATAGAATGACACTTAGGGTACTGTACAACAAATACACAAGTCCTGTAAAGGTGGGGGGCAAGGGGCAAAAACCTTTATAAAAACAGACTAAACTTTCACACAACCTTGACTACACCAATAACAATCCCAACTACATCTACAAAGAGGCTCAATTTAACTTTAAAAAGGCATAACAGAAACAAAAAGTAAAGAATGTATGAATTGGAACATGAAAAGCTACTTATAACTGGTGCAGTTTAAGAAAGACAATGCAATATCTAATAACACAACTGTTAAACAAGTTGTATACATACTAACTATGTACATACAGTAATACAGGAAACCTTTTCAGGTTTTTAAGCAATTTTTAGGACAACTGTACTGATTCTGGTGGTAACATGAACTGTTTGTATGCAAGTTTACATTTCTATATAGATTCTATATATTTACGTATAATCTCAGTGAAATGTAGAGACCGTCTGAGGTCATTATATTTCTGCTGGTTAACGATCTGTCCCGTTTAGGGTGTGGTACAGTACAATGATGTTTTTTGGTACATACCATTAGTTGCCACGAGGAGAACGTCAACATTGACATAAACAGACAGTTTCAACAGTTTATAACAGCACAACTTTTTCCCCCTTTTTGTTTTGTCTTCAATTGTGGGGAGAACTTAATGCACACAGTAGGCTGCTGGAGGTGCTCTCAATGTGCGTACAATGTACTCAAAATCAAAGGCTAGAGATCCAAGTAGAGAGCTTTTGTAGAGGCACACAGTAAGCAGTATCTCAACTATAGTAGGTACTATAATGCGATACTAAAAACCGGAGCTGATTCTATATGACGGGTCAAGAAGACTGATCAAATCGCTTTTGTCTTGTGCTCTAAAGATCTTGAAGGAGGGCATTGTGAGCCATGTCTGGCCAAGGAGCCATGAAGCAGGGCAAATGCTGCCCTACTGTACTAGGATCACAGTGCTTTCTGGGATAGAGTTCAAAGATCTGTTTCTGTCCTCCCAGGGTTCATATATAAACCAACAACCAATAATTCATCTTTGTTTGCCAATCAAACCCAATTAAATGATGCCTCTAGACATCAAAAAGGGAGTAACTACTTGTTGAGTATAAGCATCTTTAGAACAAAATGAGGTATTATGAGGTTACTGGGCCTTGTAAAAATTCTTTCTGACTGGGGAAGTTTGCCGAGATTCCTAAAACCTCTGTGAATGTAATCGGGGACACAAAGTTACTGAATGAGAGAAGACACAGGGTACCCGCTACCTTCAGCAGTGTGCTGGACAGTATGTTCTTGAAGGGCTCCTAGATCAGCAAAACGCTCTCCGCACCACACACATTTAAACTGGGCATCTCTCGCATGCACGCTCTGATGCTTGGCCAGGTGTTCACGCTGCTTGAAACCCTTGTCGCAACTTGCGCACTTGTAGGGCTTCTCTCCGGTGTGGACGCGCCTGTGTCGCTGCATCTCTGAGGAGTACTTGAAGCGCTTCTCGCAGTCAGGACACTTCAAGGGCTTCTCACGGCTTGGGTCGCATCGGTGCTGCACGAACTCCGAGGAGGACAGGAAGCGCCGGTCACACAACGAGCATTTGAGAGGTTTCTCGGTGCAGTGGGAATTCTGATGGCGCTGGAGCGTGGTGGCCTTTTTGTAAGCCTTTCCGCACACGTCACACTTGTAGGGCTTGTCTGGATTTGTGGGCGTCGAGGACGCCTCACCACATTTGTGACGTAGCAGCTCCCCAGACTGACTGAAGCCCTTGCCGCAGGAGGCGCACTTAAAGAGGTTATCCATGCCATGAACGTGCTGGTGGTATAACAGGTGGGACGGCTGCAGGAAGCCTTTGTCACACAGGTTGCATTTGAAGGGGCGGTCGGCGGAGGCCTTGTGCGTGCGTCGGTGGCGCACCAGGGCGTACTGTTGTTTAAAGCTCATCTGGCAGTCTTCACAGTGGAACGGGCGTTCTTCCGAGTGGGTGCGTTCGTGCTGTCTCAGGTCGGACGGACGCTTGAAGCCCTTCCCACAAGTGGCGCAGCGAAACGGCCGAGCACCTTGTGGCTGACACTGGTGGTGGAGGAGCTCGGAAGACTCTTTGAAGTGCAACTCGCAGAGGTTGCACTTAAAAAGGTGCTCACCCGAGTGGGCATACATGTGACGGACTAGGTGGGAGCGGTGCTTGAAGCTCTTCTCGCACACCGCACACTTGAATGGTCGTTCGGAGCTGTGGGTACGCTGGTGGTGGGCTAGATGAGAGGACTGGCTGAAGCTTTTGTCGCATGTTTCACATTTAAACGGCTTCTCGCCTGTGTGGACGCGTTCGTGACGTGTGAGCTCGGATAAGTGACGGAAGCCCTTGGAGCACACCGAACACTTGTACGGCCTGTCAGGTTGCGAAGGCTCGAATGTAGGCTGGCCTGATGTCCCGACGGCAGCGCTGCCACTAGACGAAGCTTCGTCGTTGGATGGTTGCCCTGGGTTGGCCGTTGACGAAGTTGGCGTGGCGTTTCCAGAACCCGGTCGATACGTTTTTTCACATATGGAGCACTTCATGGGGTTTCCGCTGTTATGGGCATTGTGATGCTGCGCTAGAGAAGTTAGCAGCGAAAAGCCCATCTTGCACACTCCGCACACAAAAGGTTTCTGCTCCACCTGCACACACTGGTGCTCCAACAGGTCAGTGGCTTGGTGAAAGATTTTCAGACACTGCGTGCACTGAAACGAACGATCTTGGCTCACCATGCACTGGTGCTCATGTGGATTAGCCAGATGGGAGATGTCATGGCCACATGCACCACACTTGTGTCCTCCCTCGCTCCCCACATGCAAGGAGGACTGCTGCGCTTGTGCCGGATGCTGCTGCTGACTGTGATGCTGCTGTTGTTGCTGCTGCTGCTGCTGCTGTTGTTGTTGTTGCTGCTGCGATTGTTGCAATGCCGCGTCCGGCTGGAGGACGATGCCGTAGACGGTGCAGCCCAGTGTGTCTGCCCCTGGTGGGATGGTGTGCACGACTGGAGGCGGGGCAACAGCATGCTGCTGCCATGCCTCCGTCATACGTGCGCGGGTGTATGGATTCAGCTTTGAGCCGTAGTTGGACCTCTTTCTGGATGAATTCAGGGGGAAGGGATTGTTGGACTAACCCGGATGGGAAAGGAAGTAGCTATAAACAGAGAACTGACATGGATGTGAGCATCAAGTGCAAAGGACCTTGACCTTCTTCATCACCTTGGTAAAGCCCTGTAAGAAAAAATAAAAACAAGAAAACTGGATGAAAAACTTGCACAGCCAGCACACACCTTTAGGGGCATTTACACTGCAGTGCTCCACAAAAAAGGAAGGCCTGTGAAAGAGCTTTGGGCAAATTCAACCTCATACATTTGTTGATGACTTCAAATTTAAAATAATATAAAATGTAATATTGTTGTTGCATATTGTGGTACTTTAAATTTTACCAAGGTAAAATTCTCTAACTGGGTGACATAACGTGTCTTTACCCTTCCAACTTAAAGGGTTAGTTCACCCAAAAATGAAAATTCTGTCAGTATTTACTCACCCTCATGTTGTTCCAACCCCGTAAGACCTTCGTTCATCTTCGGAACACAAATTAAGATATTTTTTGATAAAATCTGAGAGCTGGATCACTCCTGCATACTAGTCCATAGACTTCTTGAGGAATTGAAACGTGCCGGCCTCGAAAAGTTATTCAAGACATCGTTAAAATAGTCCAAGTGACTACAGTGGCTCAATCTTAACTTTATCAAGTGACGAGAACACTTTTTGTGCGCAAAAACAAACAAAAATAACAACTTTATTTCAACTATTCAAATACTAACAGAATTTTCATTTTTGGGTGAACTAACCCTTTAAGCCTGCTTTCTGTCTGACAAAAATTCAGTGTAAAGATGCAATGCCAGATAAAAACCATGCTAAATTATGCCTGCTCTGACCCACCTATAGACAGCATATAAACAGTTGGTGTAAAGACACCTAAATGCCACTTTAGTAGCTGGCCCACCTTTGCAGAGTAATATAATTTTGCAATATTTCAGGGTTGATTTAAAACGGCAATTAAGACTAAACCTAGAAAATAACGTTCTATGAAAAATATGTACTTTTCTGGCATATAAAACATTGATAAAAATAAAAATGTGAGTTTCCACTAAAAATGGCAAGACAAATAAAAAAATCTCAACTACTGGTCTGATTGGGACTGAATAATATAACCTTATTTTACAATAAGGCCTAAAACTAACAGCAGCTTGCAGCATAAAACTGAATAGAAGTCATCATTGAGTGCCAGTGACTGTTGGCAAGGCATCAAAATAGGCTTTAATGAAAAGAAAAAAGAAAGAAAAGAAAAAAAGATAGTGGCACTCATGTGAACCACTTCTTGATATAGTTGGTTACATAAGGAATGAAAACCCCCTTAACCTTTACTGCAACTTCTGGATTTGAGTCGTATCTACCTGGTCTGTAAGGAGATCTATATAATTTCCACCAATGCACTCCAAGTTATACAAACCTATAAACGTATCCGAGCAGTTAATAAACTAATAACAAATTATTGATATTATATTGATAAATTAAATGAAAAACAAATAAATCTGACAAACTTTATCCTAGTGATAACAAAGGTAAGAGTATCTGTCTGGTACACCTCATGTTTCATGCTGGATAGTTAGACTGACTTGCCCACCAACCTACTAGCATTGTGGGACAAGCGAGCATACGATGCCCAATCACTGTCTAAGTGAAGTATTAGCACGCTAACGTTAGTTTTTGAGACACAATCTATTGCCTAACAGTCACTTATGTGTATAAAAGTGGCACAGCTGGTCCCAAGCATGCATGCATAATTAAGAAAATGTAATAATACATAAAGAAAACGTTTGGCGCTTCTGTTTGCTGCTCATTTGTTTACACACAATTCTATAGCGGCGAATTAAAGCCGGTGACAGAATTTAAACGTTAAGCAGAATTAATATTTATGTACAACACAGTAGCCAAAAGCTTAACTTATAGAACATGCGATGTCTCTAAGACACCTGGATGAAAACATAAAAACATAGCTTTGCAAAAATGGCTAACGTTAACTAATATCTGCAAGCTGGCTAACAGTAGCTTTGCAACACACACAAACACATCCTTCTAAAATATGTTTAGATATGCATATTACCTTGTTTCAGAAGTGAATTCCACCCATGTTTGTTCTCAGGGATAGAAGTTCAATCAAGAAAAGACTTATAATGATTTTCTGAAGGCCTTAAACCCTCCGACCGATCCGCGGTCTCTGCTAGGCCGCACCCCTGGCCAGTGCCTGCAAAAACACACGATAACCCTGCAATCTCTCCGGATTTCGGTTGGGTTGCTCCATAAAACCCCGACACGAGTCTTTTCGGCGTTTGCAGCACATTTAGGGGAGCTGACTGGTGGGGAATGGCCGACCCATAGTGCGTTTTATTTCAGGCTTAGACGCTGACCACCGAAACCACCGACAGCCGCACGGGAACCTGAATAACACATAATTGGCATCCTCACAAAACATACCGGAACTTCGTTAATTTTATTATTTTCTTATTTATATACTAATATTCGTACTAAAACGCCATTATTACCACAAAAATGTCTCTATTACTGTTTTAGGGTAACGTTATAGGGCAATTTTATTAGAACACTTCTGGGGAATTATTGTAGTGACAGGATAATAGTTAGTATAAAGCTTTAATAAGACAATACACGTCAACATTTTGTTCGTATAAACGTATAGTGTTTATCATTGCAGAAATGCAATGTTGACTGCAGCTGCGATTTTTTTCTTTCTTTTTCTTTTCTTTTTTTTAAAGGGCGGAATGCAAAATAGTCGGAACCATATGAATCAATATTTGCGGTAGTGGGACGCTGTGATGAAGCACCGTTTGTTTTCTTGTTATTAGAATCATTCATTGAATCGGTTCTTTCAAACGGTTCGTTAAAAGAACCGGTTCTTACGCACTTATACAAAAGTATCCATGCTTTGAATAAACAACATCTAGGAAAATGTATTTAAAATATTAATGTCTCGGCTGAGAAAAAAAAAATAAATAAATATTCGGTCACTAACATAACGCCGTACAAAGAAACGCAATCACACGATAGGTTGTGATATGAACCGGTTCAACGGAAGCTTTGGAAAAGATCCGACTCAAAAAAAATAATGATTCGTTAACGAATCCCATTGTAAGTTGTAGTGGGACCATAGACAGAGTGGGACGCTGTGAGGAAGCCGAACCATCGGAAGCGCTTTGCGCATGCCAATAAGAGTGTCGTCACGTAGCTGAGATGTTATTTTTAATCATCTGTTGCAATTTTAAAGATTTTCTGCCTTAGCATGATTGTCAACTACAGTAGTAGCAGTTCTGAAGATGAAACTGAAAACTCTTCAAAAAATGATTCCTCACCTTCAAGGAAAAGAGGAAAACTTGACAATGAAAGCAGGTTTGGTGCGTTTGATCTTCTGTGGTTTAGTTTTATTTTGATTTGCATTTCTAGGGCTCTAAATTCCTCTTTTACCTGTATAGCACCAGTGAACCTTTGGATCATGGATCTGTTAAAAGCAAAGCAGGCAAATCAGCCCTCCTGAAACCTCGCCTGCCTCTTCCCGAGAGTGTAAGGGAGATGTTCGGAGAATCCGAAGAAAAGTGGACCGATGAAAGGGATGAGCATGGAGGGCGAATTCGGTCCTTCCAGCATGAGCGGGGCAACTGGGCTACATACATGTTCTTTCCTTGTAAGCATTTTGCCTGAGTGTATTTAGATTGATACTGTCATTTTTATCTGAATGACCTTTAACCCTTTTTAGATGATCCTGAGGAGGCCTTTCTGGAGGTGCTAAATGAAATGATGCTGGTTGCGGCAGCTCATGGCATCCCTCTGGCCCTATCTGAAGAGTTTCACCTCAGTCTCTCAAAGACAGTGGTTCTGCGCCATCACTGGATTCAACCGTTCATCCAGTCCATTCGGACTGGTGTGACACATTTTCAGAAGTCTGTGCTATATAGTCAACACCTCATTGTTTCATTATAACATGGGTCAGTTGCTGGTTGTCTAAGTCAGATTGTTTCCTCAGGTTTTTCTGCTTGGCTGATAAACTGATGGTGTATTCTAATGCTGAAAAGACTAGGTATTTCACTACTCTCGCTGTTCATTACCTAACTAGGCTGTGTATTAATTATTTCTTCATTTCAATGCACTGTATTAATGGCATAAAGTTGATGCAGGACATTCCTTGGTTTGGAAGTCTCAACTGGAAAAACTCAGTTGCTTGAGCTCATCAAAATACTGGATCAAACCATGAAAGAATTCAACCTCAGCACCTTTTATAAGGTACAAACAAGGCATTGGTATCATATTTATGAACATAGATTCAAATACAATCATGTAACAGCCTCCTCTATTTAATATAGGATCCTTCTTTCCACATAAGCCTTGCTTGGTGTGTGGGTGACCACACAGAAAGCCTAAAAAAGGCATGTTTATCAGAATTGCAGGTAGGAACCCAAGCAGATCTGCATCACAAACTAAACATGAATGTGAATTGATTAAAGGCAAAGGTTGAAAAGTTGGTGTGTTTTTGGCATTGCGAAATCTAATAACCAATGATTTTACCTTTCAGAGTCTCATTGACGCTCATGAAGATGGGCCTTTTCACATACGGCTCAACTGCACAGAGCTTCGCTGCAAAACGGGAAATAAAGTCTTTCTTTTCTCCCTCCAATGACTGTGAAACTATGGAGGCTTCTTTCTGCCACAGAATAAACAGAACAAAAATATAAAAACAAACGACTTTCTCACAATTGAATTTTTTCCCTTGTTTACATCTCAATTTGAGCGAGATATAAACTCACAATTCTCAGAAAAAGTCTTAATTGTGAGATTTACACTTGCAACTATAATAAAAGGTCAGAATTGTGCGATAAAGTCACTAAGCTTTTTATATTTTTATTCTGTGAAATAAGCTTCCATATGAAACACTGTTTAGTAGTGATGTTGATTTTGAGGTTTTCCAAATATAATGAAAGATTTGAACGAACGATGGATAACGTATCTCTATGTTATTACAATTTTGGTAAAGAGCATTTTATTGTACATTACTGAAACTTGGTGATTTTTTACTAACCCATGGCATGTAGGCTACTGTCTATTGTCACACCCTGGTTGAGCATTGCATTTTCACCATCAGACTTGTTTTTTTTTTTTTTTTTTTAAGCAACACACCACATCCTAAAATTGAAAGATTAAGTTTCACTTTCCACAGCTAGGCTTGGTTTCACAAACAGGGCTTAGATTAAGCCAGGATTAGGCCTTAGTTTAATTAGGACATCTTCATATCTTTTACAAACGTGCCTTGGAAAAAACATTACTGGTGGTGTGCATCTCAAGACAAAACAATGGCACTGACATAATTTAAGATATGCCAGTGCAAGTTGCTTTCAATTAAAAAAGCTCAAACATGCATTTTAGTGCAGGAATCGATTTAAGCCTGGTCTGTGAAACTGGGGGTTAGTGTTGTACTGTTAAAATACAGTTTTTATAATAGAACTTAGTCTAACAACCTCAATTCAAAATATTTTTAAAAAGCGACAAATAATGTGCTTCACAAATCATTGTTCATTATATTCAAGAGCAAACTTTGTTCAGATGTAACATAGGTTAACCCATCCTGGGCGGTGGCACAAATGCAGTCTAGAGGTTAAGCTGATGTAAATTGAGCAACAGTGAGATATCCAGCCGTTAGGCACATTCTACATTCAAGAACATCTGGCAAAAATACATAAATCAATACTGGTCACAGACAGCCTGATAAATCAGGATCAACGGAGATACTGCAGTGTCAGTATAATTTGGATAGAAACATTTTTTAAAAAAAAGCACTAGATAAAATCTGTAGATTACAGAAGTTGTGTGCATCAAGAGGTTAAAGTTTATAAAGGTTAAACAGACTATTTAAAACTAATTGACGGATTAACGGCAAACAATTGCCATTTCACATTTAACAACTGGAAATTACGTGCGGTAAAATATGTGTTAACATTTTAGATCCAAATTGAGTAAAAAAAAAATTCAAGAATCATTTCTGTAAATGCTGATTATGCCCAACAAAAGATGACTATTTATCAAGAATGTCCTGATAAACCTCAACTCCACAAATAGGAACTCCGACAACAAATTCCGATAAGGAAAGGAACATCCACCCAAAAAGCAGAACCAAGTCCTGAAAGTTAAAGAGGGGAAGTGAGTAAAGCCTCAGTGTCATCATGGTGTAAACAGCACATTCTTGATGTAGTTGACTGTGGTTATGTTTAACAGCATGTCGACATGCTCGTTCCCAGGCAGCTCGAACATTTGGACGGGCTGTTTCTGCTGGGTCTTCCAGCGTTTGCATTGTATGGCACTCAACAGGTTGACTGTTCCATCTCCGTCCCCGTTGATGACAGTGGGGTCTACATCTGGGAAGTTTGTGTAATTGAAACCCTGAGCTGTGGGAATGCCGCTGCCATAAAGACAGTGGATAGGAACACCAGGAGGCTGCAATGCACTGACCAGCGGTTCCGTGTCCTTCCTCATGGCCCAGCCATCCTCATAGTCAATATCTTTGAAGAAGCGTTGATAGTCTTGGACTGTGTAGCTGGTGTTTGGGGTGGAAACCAGGACCATGTCTTTGGGCCAGGAGTGGGCGTAGGGCAAGAGCCAGACAGTAGAGACGGCCGTTCGCTGCTGGGTGCGGATTTTTACAGGACTGATGACGGGAATGCGGTTGTTGTCGCCTGTGGTGGAATCAAAATCAAATGATCAAACCAGTGATCGTAAATGGGTTTTAAAGTAAAACCAAAATGGACGGTTCAGGTCTAAAAAAAAAAAATGGACTATTGCAGTGCTTATAAATAATTTATACGTGGACGTCATTATTTTTTCTAATTCTTATGATTTTTATTCAAAATAACTTCCCCTCCCATCATCTTTTCACTATGTTGTTGACGTGTTTACTGGCATGAGGGCAGGACAACCTCATTCACATGAGATCAACCATTTGTTCTAAAAGTCCAACGCTCAAGTTAAAAGTGGTTCCACTCTTTAGCAGGTTTTTTTTTTTTCATTTCACAAAAAAAAATGTGTTCTGTGTGAATGGCCGCTTAGAAACGTTTCATATGGTTTTAAAAACTTGCTATTTTCAGGGATTAAGTCGTACTGAACAATCATTATTTTTAAAAAGGTTTTTAAATACTTTTTCAAAAGTAAAAAGTTTAACCAATATAATAATTAAATTTTATTTCAATCATTAAAGCTGCTTTGGAAATCTTTTTTGTATAAATAATTAAATATATAATGTTAATGGAATAATTATTAAATATAATTGTTATTAAATAATATTATTTCCAAAAAATAGCAATACAAGTCTGTGCCAAACTACTTGGTTTTCTAATGAAGTTTTTATCTTCATTATGATGTCAAGACTGTTGTATCACCATAACAGTTTTGACCTTAAAATGTATTTTGACATTTTTGAGGGCATAATTCAGAAATTAAAGGTGTATTTATGCCATTGTATATGTGAATTGCATTGACGTACAAAAATTTGCCATAGACATTTGATCAAATTTAAAGGCACAGTATGCATTATTGACAGTTAGCGATTGAAATGGAATCGCCAGACATGAAAGCGACTTATTCTGCGAGTTGATCAGCTAAGGCATTCGTTTGCACTGTTTTTACTGACGAGTTTTTTTAGAATCTGCGATCTCTGACTCAGTTCGTTTGCTGGCTTCCATGGCTACAATACGCAGTGTTTTCCGCCATCTGGCAACCCCAGGTTGACTAAATACTACTAGGTAAATTGGCAGTGGGTGGGATCACACAGACCGCACATTATATAATAACTGTTTTGAGAAACAATTATCCTAAATCTCAGCAAACATTCAATGATATTTTTTAAGCTTTTAGTACAGTCAAACAAAATGACATACAGAACCTTTTAATTCAGCAAAGGCTTGGTTTCACAGAAAGGTCTTAGATTAAGCCAGGATTATGCCTTAGTTCAATAAGGACATTTAATTTGATTTTATAAATGAGTCTTAGAAAAAAAAAGGATTACTGGTGGTGTGCATCTTGAGACAAAACTGGCACTGATATATTTTAGGATAAGCCAGTGCAAGTTGCTTTTAGTTAAAACAGCTCAAACATGCATTTTAGTCCGAGACTAGCTTAAACCTTGTCTGTGAAACCAGGGGGAAATCTCCTTCTAAAATAATTTTAGCCTGTACCTGTTGCCATAACTCTAAGAGTTTTGGCCACTCCAGCCCATGGAGGCCCAAGAGAAACAAATGCCTTGATGTACCGGTCCTTCCAAGCTTGTGGTTGGTGATTAAGGAAATAGAGCGTGTACATGTTTCCCATACTGTGTGCGATGAGGACCACAGGACCTCCAGCCTTATTAGCCATCTCCTCAATCATCTGCTGCAGACGCAAGAAGTACTCCTTATTGTCATCTGCAGGTACAGATCAGAGAACAAAAATGTCCAATTTAGACATTAAGACAAGAACCATAACATTTCCCAGAACTTTGTTTTGGTGCATAAATAGAAGAAGATACACACTGGGGGCTTTACGCCAGTCATAGGGGGCACCTCGAACGTCGTCGTCTCTGGTATACCCCCAATCAACCAGTGCTTGTACTATAGTGAAGAAGTACATGCCTGAAACAGACAAAACAGTTACCAATCGACAAATTAACATAATGAGATAAACACCCAGTTTCCACTCACCCACACTCCGTTTACTTGGATCCAGATATTCCAAACTATACGTCTTTCCAAACCCAGGCACTCTGACATCCACCCCCGGAGGAGCTTCAGTGAGGTGCGTTGTGCGATTGTACAGTAGCCTTTAAAAAAAACAGATGCTGATGACATATTTGCATATTTAAAGCAGGCGACATGAAATCAAAAGAAGCAAATGCGTGCTTTCAATTAAAAAAAAAAAATCCTGTCTACTAATTTCCCATTCAACAGAGTGCATTTGGCCCTGGCCATTTTTTTTAAACAATCAATATAGCTCACAGACAGTAGGTCTGTTTTAAAGATTTATAAATTATTGTTAATCTCTATGGAGAAAATTAATTGAGTTTTTAATTGTGAAACCTGAGTGTTGCACTCAGTAAAGGTTGTTGCAGAAGGAAGAAGCTTGTCTTACAAAATGGTATGGATGTCATATGCCAGCAATACATCACATGCACAACTTCTGGTTTCAGTTGTCCTTTTGCCCTTTACCTCATGTTATCAATCCAGCAGTCAATGGCCACCGGCACCAGCAGCTCCAGGTTGAGCCATAGCGTAAAGTAGTCATTGGTCTTCTTGTAGCAGATGTAGTGTACTACACTAGGTTTGTCCAGTTTTGCTTCAAGCTGATTCCCAAGATCTCCTGGAACTATGGATAAATCATGTATAATCTTTTGAATGATAATTTATCAATTTTATGGTGAAATGTTTACACGGGAAACTCCACCAGAAGCCCTTCACAAACTACTTTAGATATGATGAAAGAATCACTGATGTAAAAGACTTGGCACTATCACCATTCAAAAGAGATTACCTACTTATCACCTACTGATTAACATCTCTGTCATCACTAGTGTCTGTCGGTTTAGTCAAGTTTGAAGAATTCTAACACCTCAATATGTTTCCAAGTATAGTTTCCTGCAAAGTTTGCGTGTCTTTATTGTCAGTCACCACATTCACAAAACGCCTGTGCTCCAACTATCAGACGCCGTGTAAATATTGGCTAGTCAAATAGTGTACTTAAAAGTGTGCTTTAGATATTATTGTAGAAAAAATATTTAAGCTATCTTTTATTGCTGAATAATGATCTAGTGTAAATTTAGACATGAAGACAAAGCTTTTCCACAGTATTGCCAACCTGATGGGAAATCCAGCCTTCACTGGTAGGTGTGTTTTGTACCATGTTATATGGTTTCTAACTGGCACAAGCTCAAGGAGGTAAAAATGGTTCACAGTAAAACACTCTTGGACCAACTAAAATCCTGCTATCATGTTCCAAAACATAGATACTAACTTTAAAGTCTTTAGCAACAGTGATATAGATATAAGTACAGTAAGATATAGTAGCCTAATACATTGTACTTGCATATTACGATATTTCAAAATGTCTACTATTAAGATATCACACACACACACACACATACACACACACACAGGTAAAGTCTGAAAAAGAACGTATTTTCACATTTTTTTTAAACGTTATGATGATACATATCGTAATTTGCCAATAGGGGATGAAAGGATAACAAAGAATTGTTATTTTCTTGTTTTACTACGACCGGTTTCGCAATCAGAATTGTCTTTTTTTTTTCCCAGGTCATATGATCGCGTCATATGAGAAACCGCCAAAGCGAAAACAAACAGATACAAAGAAGAAAATGGCAGAAAATAAGACACTATATCTTATTTTATAGATATATTACCAAAATATCAACCGCTTTGAAGATGCGGTAAGACACTAGATTAAGGTCTGATTATCAATAGAATCATATATTGAATACTCTATATAATAGAACAAGCATGGACATGAGGTTAAAACACACTATCTGTACCTCCTGTAGTAGAGAGGTGTGTATTATATAACAAAATCTAATGTTCGTGCAAACGCTATCACAACATTTGAGCATGTGAGCTACCTAGTGTAAGTATTGCCTAGGTAGGAGGACACTGTGTTTTGAGACACAGACCACATGACAGTTCATC